GGGTTTGTTGTGTTTTTTTATTTTTTGGAGTTGTATTTGTTGGGGTTTTTTTTAAATATGTATGTGTTTTTTTCGGGGACAGAGGGGGAGGGGAGGGGTGGGGGTATGTTAATTTCCGCTGCCATAAAGACTGATCAAAATATGTGTGTTCAATTCCTTGTAGCCCTGTCCGATGTTGCATTTTCACTGAATGATACTTCACTTGACGTTTAATGCTGCAATGTAAAAAGGTTTGAAAATCTGTTTTCAAACAAGAATAAATAGATACATAAATAATAATAAAAATTTACCCATATCCTATGCTTTTTTTCACCACCCTGAAGTCGTGAATGAAACTCATCTTTACACTACACATATAGAATCATAAGTAGGAAGTTAGGGATATAAATTCTATCACTGCAACATGCTCTGCGTCGGTGGCTTAGTGGTTAGGCTACTAGACCCGTAATCGTAAGATTGCGGGTTCGGGGGATCGAGCGTCAGCTTGGCCCGACGTTGCGTCCTTCGGAAAGACACTTTCCACAAATTTCCCACTTGGCTCGGTCCTTTTGGAAATGGACGTTAAACCCGGAGGTCCTGCCTCTTAACCCTATCCGAACGTCGTGTTTTACTATCGTGTCCATACGACGTGGGGAACTCTGTGCCACTACTTTTCAAAGTGGGAAATTTATTCGCTGATACGACCCGTACGCTTTGCATAGCAGTCTGTCAAAATGATTTTTTAAAGAAATACTGAAAGTTTCGAAGAGATCTTTGAACTAGACATTCTAAAATGTGAAGAATACAACCCCGGGGGTACAAAATGACCCCAGGGCGTACGGATAGGGTTAAATAACCTAATAGTGTTGACATGTGCGTTAAACATCAACCATTTCGTCCTTTTTTGCCATATGCTCTGTCTCTTACCCCACGTCTATGGAGTGAGGACGGACGCTTTTTGACTCCGTGGGGTCAGTGGCCGATAATATCTCCTCGCGCTTGCCTACATCTATCGCTTTTTCGTAAGCCTCCGGTTGTTTGGACTCAGGTCAATGAAAAACTCATTCACGGAGGTAGAAAATGAAAAGGTAGAGGTCGAAATGAAAACCTTTTTTCGGGGAGGGAGGGGTTGAGAGACAGAGAGAGAGAGAGAGAGAGAGAGAGAGAGAGAGGGGGGGGGGAGTGCAGTTTGATTGATGAATGAGCAAGAAAGAGCTGACGACTCGCGTATAGCACACGGAAAGCGACGCTCTTACAATACAAATTGATGAACGGTTTACTAAATTTCACAACGGACAGTAAAAGTAAAAGCTGTCACCGTTCGGTTGTGTCCTATAAACTAATTACCTCTCCTTGGTCGGTGGTTGGTGGGAGCTCTGGCGTGATTTGCTCCTTTTCCCGTTATCAAACATCTGACGTCCTTATCTAACCTTTCTTTCTTTTTATGCTTCTGTCTAATAACTCTTCTAGTCTTTGGCCCTTATAAATATTATAATCTAATTGTGTTGCAAGCGCCGTAAAACTTTTATGGCAACTAAAACTAAGATCTCGTTGAAATATTTAACGTCATGAGTCAACACATTGTTATGTGTGGTTGGTTGGCTGGTGCTCTGGTGTGGTTTACTCCTTCTTTCCTATCCAACATCTATCATCCTTACCTCCCCTCAGTGTAACGCCTCTAATCTTCGACACTTATATGACCTATTGTGTTATATGATATGACCTATGTTACTAAAACTAAACAAAGCTTTATTACGTTGGTTACTTTTGTTTTATTTTTCAAGGGTTTATTTTCTTTTCTTCTTTCAGACGAATGCGCTTCTTACCAGAAACGGAAGACTTCAAGAAGTCGAGCCACTTCACCAACTACATGTACACAGTGGCCGGCCATCTGGCCGAGAGGATGTCTGGGATGGGGTAAGGAATCATGTCTGCATGGCAATCTGAGTGGTCACGCTCTTGTTTTTTGAAGAAATGATCATCGTCATCGAGGGGCAACACCTGCATTACAAAGTCCTATCAGCTCAGTACCTAGTTCTGAGACATTTGACGTCAAGAATTTTTAGTTTTACAACATACCAAGCTTTTTCTAATGCAATTCTTTAATTAAATATCTTGATAACGGCTCTGTATAATTGTACGATTTTGATAGAGTAGAAGAAGCATTTGATTTCTGACCTCATTGTCTTAGTAACTCAAAACGACCAAAAATGTCAGATGGAATTTGTAATTCTGAGGTATTGAAGTGTCAGCCGGCGTCTGTGGTGTAGCGTTGTGCTTCTCTGTAGGTAGCACTCACGTGCAGTGCAGTCAGCCAGAACAACAGTTATGAGGCGCCTTTCCCCAGAATTCTTGACAATTGAAAATAATTGCCTCTTAGGTTGCTTCAGAGCTTTGCTTCTGTCAACATGTTTTCAACTCGTTAATAAGTGAGATTGATCAGTCAATGTATTAATTTCAAAACCCCCCCCCCTTCCTTAAAAATCGTTGGCGCGAATAGTGAAGGGAAGGTTTTAAATGGTTGGTAATGAAATGTTCACGAAAGTACGTCTTTCTAAGACTCATTCC